ATCGTCTGCGATGACTTGCTTTGATCCAAGCCAACCGCGTGAGGGATATGGGCGCGCGTGCGTGGGATCGCCCTCTCTTGTCTCGTGAACAGTTCGATGCAGCAGTCAGGTCGAGGCCCAGTGATCTGAGCCGCTACGGAGATCGTCTCAACAGGCTGCCCCGCCCAATAGAAGATCTTCAGAGAGGCGACGCGTCGGTTCAGGGCCGGATCGCGGATTGGGAATCTTTGAGACGCAATTCCAGGAGCCCCATTCGGGTCAGTCGGCAAGACAGGGAAGATGGTCAGATGACAGACACCGCCGCAGTTCTCCTTTCTCTCTCGCCAGAACAGTCTGAGCAGTACTTTACCTCGCTCTCGGAGGGTTTAGTCGAACAAGGATGGTCGGGGGACTGGACGCACTTCGTGAACGGTAACGCTGATGTCGAGCTCATTCCAGGGGGGCCCGGATCTCCCTCCGAGGGGGCCCTCGCCCTTGCTACTTCCAGGGGGGGTGAGGTCTCGATGTCCAAGCTCGACCCGGAAGGGGGAAAAGGCCTTTCGAGAGTCCGGCGCCAAGGGGTGGCTGAGCGCCTCGGGGACCGGGGCCGTGCATGTCCATCCTCCGGCGGAGGGGAAGCGTCTCAGGGCTCTGTTTCCCAGTCGTGTCGTCTCGTCTCGTATGGTGCGTCGGTGGAAACCACAGGAAGGGTGTCGCAGCAAGCCGCTGGCTAAGAGCCGGTGGTGCGTCCGAGGCCATGAAGACGAGGATGCGCATGAATTGAGGGTGTGCTCCCCCCTGCACCTCATATGGAGTCGTTAATGTTGTTCCTCACGGCGGCCCTGGCCTTACTCATGTCACTGACGATATGGGATTTGAAGAACGCGTTTTGCCAGTCCGATCCTCTACGGAGGAGTCGCGGTCGGGTGTTCGTCGAACCGTGTGAGGGGTTTGACCTTGAGGCGGGAAGTCTTATTGAGCTGGTCGCTCCCGTCTACGGACTGGACGACGCGCCTCTCGCCCTTCATCGCACTACTGTTCGATTCTTCGAGTCGCTAGGGTATGTCAGATCCAAGCTTGAGCCGTGCTGGATGGTCCGCCGTGGCCCTAAGGGGCCGGACGCCATGGTTTTGATCGAGGTTGATGACTGGGCCATTGGCTTAGCAGATAGCGTCCGAGATGGCCAGATTAAGGCCTTTACCGACAGGTTTGTTTTCGGGAAGCTTAGGGCAGTAGATTCGGAAGGAGTGGAGTATATCGGACGTCGAGTTCGACGCCTACACGATCGTATTCTAGTCGACCAGCAGAAGTATATCTTAGAAAATCTACACCGTCTTCATATATCCCGGGGCCGACGAGGTCGGCATGACCAGCCCCTGGTGGGCCGCGAGAAGACGGAGTTCAGGTCGCTTATCTACCGGCTCAACTGGGTCGGCAGGGAAACTCGGGCAGAAGCATGTGGTACGGCATCTATTTTAGCTTCCAGGGTAGAGAATCCCTCCGTGGGGGACGCGTTGCTCGCTAACAAGATGGTCGACCATCTTCGACAGACAGCAGCTATCCCCATCACTCTCTGGAAGTTCAGGCCAGACGACATTATCTTCGTCACTTCTTCCGACGCCGGCGGCGTTGCCGCCAGCGATGCCGACAGGGCTCAGCTGGCCTGGCAGGTGTATGTTGCGGATCGGGTGCTTGCTTCGGGTTCCAGGGCCAGGGTGTCCCCTCTAGCGTGGCGTTCGCACCGAGCCAAGAGGGCCGTTCCTTCTACCTTGGCCGGCGAGGTTCAGTCCCTTTCAGGAGCACTGGCAGAGGCAGAGTGGCTACAGCTGCTTTTCCTAGACGTGCTGAAGGGCGGGGTGGTCACCGAGGAGTGGCGTGACAAGTTGGGTCCGTTCGCCGCTGTCCTTCGATCCGATTGTTCCCTGAACGTTCAGCCGGACGGAAGCTTGAGCATAGTAGATGCGAAGGGGATTTTGGATACTCTGGAACGCGACTCGACCGGCTCGAAACACGACAGGCGATCGGCAATCGACCTCTCGGTTTGCAGGGACACCCTGGGACGTTTCGGAGGAACTATTCGCTGGGTACCCCATCCTGTGATGACGGTCGACGCTTTGACGAAGGCCGACCTAGCTAGATGTAACGCGGCCCAGTTGCAGATGCTGAAGTCCGGCATCATGAAGCTCACTCCAGAAGAGGACAGTATCTCCACCCGACGCAGCGATCCGACCTCCCGAGATCGATCCCGAGCCGCTTCCCTTCGACAGCTGTCTCAGTCGTGAAGACGACGCAGTTTTACCAGAATGTTCTCGAACTTTCAGTCGTACAGCTTTCCACCTGCCCAACACGTGAGATGACTTTAAGCTGACTTAAATTGGGCCTGCTGTGGAAATATGACCAGTTTGAGCTTAATCATCTCTTATGTTGCATGCATGGTTACTTGTTACACATTCGTGTGTGCGCACGTGTGTGCACATCTGCTGCTGTTTTGGCTCAAGGCGCCTTTCGACACCATGTCTCTCGCGAGAGAAAATACATCCCTCGTTTTCGCCACTGACCGTCCTTGACGCGTCAGGGGCTGCGATCTGCGCAACTGTCGCCACTTTCGTGGGCTCCTGGGAGGCCCAGCGGAGGTGGGTCCCACGCGGATCACCTCGAGACCTCGCGGTGCCCTGGGGGCTGCGATCTGCGCAACTGTCGCCACTTTCGTGGGCTCCTGGGAGGCCCAGCGGAGGTGGGTCCCACGCGGATCACCTCGAGACCTCGCGGTGCCCTGCGGGCTGCGATCTGCGCAACCGTCGCCATTTTCGTGGGCTCCTGGGAGGCCCAGCGGAGGTGGGTCCCACGCGGATCAACTCGAGACCTCGCCGTGCCCTGGGGGCTGCGATCTGCGCAACTGTCGTTTCGTGGGCTCCTGGGAGGCCCAGCGGAGGTGTGTCCCACGCGGATCACCTCGAGACCTCGCGTTGCCCTGGGGGCTGCGATCTGTTCAACTGTCGCCATTTTCGTGGGTTCCTGGGAGGCCCAGCGGAGGTCACCTCGAGACCTCGCGGCCCACGCAACTGGCGCCATTTTCGTGGGCTCTGGGACCCAGCGGAGGTGGGTCCCACGCGGATCACCTCGAGACCTCGCGGTGTGCGGGGCTGCGAATTGCGCAAATGTCGCCACTTTTGGTGCTCTGAGGAGGTGGGTCCCACGCGGATCACCTCGAGACCTCGCGTTGCCCTGGGGGCTGCGATCTGCGCAACTGTCGCCACTTTCGTGGGCTCCTGGGAGGCCCAGCGGAGGTGGGTCCCACGCGGATCACCTCGAGACCTCGCGCCCTGGGGGCTGCGATCTGCGCAACTGTCGCCACTTTCGTGGGCTCCTGGGAGGCCCAGCGGAGGTGGGTCCCACGCGGATCACCTCGAGACCTCGCCGTGCCCTGGGGGCTGCGATCTGCGCAACTGTCGCCACTTTCGTGGGCTCCTGGGAGGCCCAGCGGAGGTGGGTCCCACGCGGATCACCTCGACCTCGATCCAACTCGCGGTGCCATGGGGGTGCGATCTGCGCAACTTCGTGGGCTCCTGGGAGGCCCAGCGGAGGTGGGTCCCACGCGGATCACCGAGACCTCGCGTGCCCTGCGGGCTGCGATCTGCGCAACTGTCGCCATTTCGTGGGCTCTGGGAGGCCCAGCGGAGGTGGGTCCCACGCGGATCACCTCGAGACCTCGCGGTGCTCTGGGGGTTGCGATCTGCGCAATTGTCGCCACTTTCGTGGGCTCCTGGAAGGCCCAGCGGAGGTGGGTCCCACGCGGATCACCTCGAGACCTCGCGGTGCCCTGGGGGCTGCGATCTGCGCAACTGTCGCCACTTTCGTGGGCTCCTGGGAGGCCCAGCGGAGGTGGGTCCCACGCGGATCGAGACCTCGCGGTGCCCTGGGGGCTGCGATCTGCGCAACTGTCGCCACTTTCGTGGGCTCCTGGGAGGCCCAGCGGAGGTGGGTCCCACGCGGATCACCTCGAGACCTCGCGGTGCCCTGGGGGCTGCGATCTGCGCAACTGTCGCCACTTTCGTGGGCTCCTGGGAGGCCCAGCGGAGGTGGGTCCCACGCGGATCACCTCGAGACCTCGCCGTGCCCTGGGGGCTGCGATCTGCGCAACTGTCGCCACTTTCGTGGGCTCCTGGGAGGCCCAGCGGAGGTGGGTCCCACGCGGATCACCTCGAGACCTCGCGGTGCCCTGGGGGCTGCGATCTGCGCAACTGTCGCCATTTTCGTGGGCTCCTGGGAGGCCCAGCGGAGGTGGGTCCCACGCGGATCACCTCGAGACCTCGCGGTGCCCTGCGTGCTGCGATCTGCGCAATTGTCGCCACTTTCGTGGGCTCCTGGGAGGCCCAGCGGAGGTGGGTCCCACGCGAATCTCCTCGGGACCTCGCCGCCCCTGGGGGGCTTGCGATTTTCGCAACTGTTGCCGCTTTCGTGGGCTCCTGGGAGGCCCAGCGGAGGTGGTGGGTCCCACGCGGATCACCTCGGGACCTCGCCGCCCTTTGGGGGGCTTGCGATCTGCGCAACTGTCGCCACTTTCGTGGGCTCCTGGGAGGCCCAGCGGAGGTACGTCCCACGTGGATCATTCGGATGTACGTCATACGCGTTTCTTTCAACGCCCCTGTGTTTTCTCGTTTCTATGTTGTATAGTTGCCGTTCCTCTTCTTGCTGTGCTCTTCTGAAATCACTGTTGGGTGCTCTTCTTGCGCACTGCGGGTCCTTCAGAATGCCAGTCAGCACTGAGTGGTCCCGAGTATAATCGCCACATGTATAGAAAGGGTGGGGTACGTCACAGGGTAATTCTGAGGCCGCGGCCCCGGTGGCCGGTGGCATCTTGCGGCCCACCATTCGGAGGAGGAAAAGGTCCCCGTACCCCTACCTTTTCTTCGTTTTACCCTTCTTGGGCCTTCTGGGCCTTGGATTTGCCTCGAAATCACCGCGCACTTCTTCCGAGGCGGGTCCAAGCGAGGGGGTTTGGAAAAGACAAAAGCTTTTTCAGCGTTGCATGGAATTCGCGCCAGGACTGCCAGCAATAGCCTGGTGGCGGGAGAGCGCGACCGCCTGGCGTCTGAGTCTCGCTTCTCCTAGCACCGAGAAAAGAAGAAGGCCCACGCGAGCCTCAAGGCAACCGCAGAAGCTTCCAAAACGGTCCAACAGCGTCCCAAGACGGCTGGCAGAGACAGCCAAGACGGGAGACCCGAGTCTATTTTTCAAACTTTGGGCCCAAGAGGCTTCCATGACGCCCCAATACAAGCCAGGGACAGTCCAAAAGACAGGCCAGGGACAGCGTGCGTGCTCCGAGTGAATTATGGTCCACACGTTCGTTCGCACGTTGGTTTGGCATGAACCCTCTGTCGAGGGCAGATTTTTTCACGTCCGTCGCCTCTGCTTACCATCGGACACCTGGAGGTCAGAGCCAACGCAAAGATCCGTGGTCGTCCCAACCGTGGGAGAAGATGGCGCTCCCCAATTTGATTTGGTGATGACGTTTAGGCGTTTCAGGTGGCCCTCATATTACCACAAGTGTCTACGTCGGAGGTATTCTCCCATCGTCAGAGACGATCACCGATACTCGTGTTGGTGGCAATTTCTAGGTCTTCTATGCCATTCTTCCATGCATAGGTCGTGCACCAGAGGACATGTCGGAGGCCTTGATCGTTTTTTGGTGGCTTTCTTCAGGCATGGGGTCGTACCGTCGGGCACCGTGGGTTTGGGGGGTCAATGGAGGCTGTTGTCGGTTGTGAAACTCATCTTGGAGGTATGGCTCCTCTGGGGCATCGGTTGTGGGATCTCGAGGTGCGATCTTTGATGCTTGTGGGTCAGCTTGGGCGCTCTTGTGATGCGCCAGTGCGCCGCTGCCCGGGGCGCATCCTTGGATAGTTTTATTCTCTTGCACAGCTGTGCTCTAGAGCTCGGACATCTTTATTTTCGTGTCCTGGTCGTCCCCTGGCCCTGGCCCTCACCCCCCCCCCTGGGCCACGGAACACTTTCGTGTCCTGCTCGTCCCCCTGGCCCTGGCCCTCACCCCCCCTGCCCTCCGTCCAGGCATCCCAGGGCAGCCCGTCCAGGCTTCCCAGAGCAGCCCCCCTGGGCCACGGAACCCTTTATTTTCGTGTCGTTCGTCGTTCGTGTCGTTCGTCCCCCTCCCTGGTCGCTGGCCCTGGCCCTCACCCCCCCCTGCCCCCCGTCCAGGCATCCCAGGGCAGTCCGTCCAGGCTTCCCAGGGCAGCCCCCCTGGGCCACGGAACCCTTTATTTTCGTGTCGTTCGTCGTTCGTGTCGTTCGTCCCCCACCCCCCCCTGCCCCCATCCAGTCCAGCCTTCCCAGGCAGTCCGTCCAGGCTTCCCAGGGCAGCCCCCCTGGGCAACGGAACCTTTTATTTTCGTGTCGTTCGTCGTTCGTTCGTGTCGTTCGTCCCAGGGCCGCCCGTCCAGGCTTCCGTCATTCGTGTCGTTCGTTCGTTCGTCCCCCTGGCCCCCCCTCCCCCTGCCCCCGCCTGCCCCCCTCCGTCCACGCTTCCCCCCTTTATTCTCGTTTCGTTCGTGTCCTTCGTCCCCCTGGCTCCCCCACCCTGCCCCCCGAGACCCAGCTCCTCTGGGCTACCTCGTCCTCTGGGGCCACCTCGTCCCCCTGGCCCTCCCCCTGCCCCCCTCCGTCCACGTTTCCCAGGGCAGCCTCCCTGGGCCACGGAACTCTTTATTTTCCTTGAAGGCTTGGGACCCCCCCCCGTGAAAGCTCTTGGGAGCCCCCCTCCGCCCACGCTTTCCAGGGCAGCCCCCTGGGCCACGGAGCTCTGTATTTTAGTCGTGGTCGTGTCGTTCGTGTCGTTCGTCCCCCTGGCCCTGACCCCCCCCTGCTCCCCGTCCAGGCTTCCCAGGGCAGTCCCCCTGGGCCACGGAACCCTTTATTTTCATGTCATTCGTGTCGTTCGTGTCGTTCGTCCCCCTGGCCCCCCCTCCCCCTGCCCCCCGCCTGCCCCCCTCCGTCCACGCTTCCCCCCTTTATTCTCGTTTCGTTCGTGTCCTTCGTCCCCCTGGCTCCCCCACCCTGCCCCCCGAGACCCAGCTCCTCTGGGCCACCTCGTCCTCTGGGCCACCTCGTCCCCCTGGCCCTCCCCCTGCCCCCCTCCGTCCACGTTTCCCAGGGCAGCCTCCCTGGGCCACGGAACTCTTTTTTTTCCTTGAAGGCTTGGGACCCCCCCCCGTGAAAGCTCTTGGGGGCCCCCTTCCGCCCACGCTTTCCAGGGCAGCGCCCTGGGCCACGGAGCTCTGTATTTTAGTCGTGGTCGTGTCGTTCGTGTCGTTCGTCCCCGTGGCCCTGACCCCCCCCTGCCCCCCGTCCAGGCTTCCCAGGGCAGTCCCCCTGGGCCACGGAACCCTTCATTTTCATGTCATTCGTGTCGTTCGTGTCGTTCGTCCCCCTGGCCCCCCCTCCCCCTGCCCCCCGCCTGCACCCCTCCGTCCACGCTTCCCCCCTTCATTCTCGTTTCGTTCGTGTCGTTCGTCCCCCTGGCTCCCCCACCCTGCCCCCCGAGACCCAGCTCCTCTGGGCCACCTCGTCCTCTGGGCCACCTCGTCCCCCTGGCCCTCCCCCTGCCCCCCTCCGTCCACGTTTCCCAGGGCAGCCTCCCTGGGCCACGGAACCCTTTATTTTCCTTCAAGGCCTTGCGACCCCCCCCCGTGAAAGCTCTTGGGAGCCCCCCTCCGCCCACGCTTTCCAGGGCAGCCCCCTGGGCCACGGAGTTCTGTATTTTAGTCGTGGTCGTTCGTGGTTCGTCTCCCTGGGCCCCTCATTGAGCCCCAGCTCCCCTGGCCCCCCACCCCGTGGAAGCGTTCATCCGTCCAGGCTCCCCAGGGCCAGCCCCCCTGGGCCACGGAACTCTTCCGGCGAAGGCCTTGGGACCCCCGCCCCGTGAAAGCTCTTGGGAGCCCCCCTCCGCCCACGCTTTCCAGGGCAGCCCCCTGGGCCACAGAGCCCTGTATTTTAGTCGTGGTCGTTCGTGGTTCGTCTCCCTGGGGCTCCATTGAGCCCCAGCTCCCGTGGGCCCCTCCTCCGTCCAGGGTTCCCAGGGCAGCCCCCCTGGGCCACGGAACCCTTTATTTTCGTCGTCGTCCTTCGTTCCTGGGACACCCCCCGTGGAAACTCTTGGGAGCACCCCTTCGTCCAGGCTTCCCAGGGCAGCCCCCCTGGGCCACGGAACCCTGTATTTTCGTCGTGGTCGTTCGTGGTTCGTGGAAACCAGGCCAGGGCCCAGAAATCGTCGTCGTCGTCGTCCTCCTCCTCCTCCGCTTCCTTCCTGGCTCCTCGTAAACCCCTCCTGGAAGAAGGAGGCGGGGGCCTCCTGTCCTTCGCAACTCCTTTGTGCAAGAGCCAGGGCACGCGTGCCACTTGTTTTTCTTTCCTCCGAGCGGCGCAGACTGGCCCATAGGGTGCTGCAGTCCGCGTTCGCTCGGCCAGATGCCGTGGTCGAGTGCCCCGGGTGGTGGTAGACTGGCCGTCGGTGACGCGCTCCAGTGCACCGCCTGCGGTGCAGCTCCGGCCCGAGCCTCTCCAGGAGCCGTGGTCGAGTGCCCCGGGTGGTGGCAGCAGACTGGCCGTCGGCGACGCGCTCCAGTGCCCCGCCTGCGGTGCAGCTCCGGCCCGAGCCGGTCCAGGAGCCGTGGTCGACTGCCCCGGGTGGGGTAGCAGACTGGCCGTCGGTGACGCGCTCCAGTGCCCCGCCTGCGGTGCAGTTCAGGCCCGAGCCTGTCCAGGAGCCGTGGTCGAGTGCCCCGGGTGGTGGCAGCAGATTGGTCGTCGGTGACGCGCTCCAGTGCCCCGCCTGCGGTGCAGCTCCGGCTAAACGGCCGCGCGGCCGATAGGGAGAGGCCCTCCCGCTTGCTGTGCCGATTGCAAGGGGGGCGCGATTCGTTGCCCTCTTCGGTCCTTGAGTGATCTATTGCACAAAACTGTTGGCTACTTCGTCGTCTTCGTCGCTGTTGCCTCGCCCCGTCCTCCCTTCCTCCCTTTCCTCCCTGTCCTCCCGTCCTCCCTGCTTGCCTCCCTGTCCTCCCTGTCCTCCCTGTCCTCTCCTCCCGTCCTCCCTGTCCCCTCCCTCCCCCTTTCCCCCTTGCCCTCCCTCCTTCGCTCCGGAGGCAGAGTCCCCGGAAGGCAATTTGGCTCAGGGATCCCCCTCTGGGAGGCGGAGTTGGGCCAATGTTTAGCTTCTTCGATCGCCCGGTGTGGCGTCCAGCCCCGCAGGTGGGCAGGGGCGCGCCGCGCGGATCCGGGGCCGGAGTTGCCTCGCCCCCTTCTGCCGTGGCCAGGCTGGCTTGGCCGGGGGTCGGTCTGTCGCACGCTGTGGAGCTGCGCTCGGTCATGGCCCCCAGGCCGCTGCCTGTGCCAACATGGGCCGGGGGCCAGCACAGGTGGGCCGATGCTGCCCTTGCGTGCTTGTGGGCGGCTGATGCGGGCAGGCTGCATGGCCATCCGGGCGCCGCGTGGTCGACGCCAGGGGGTAATGTCCCAGGTGCCTCGGTTCTATGGGCTGCGAACGGGGTAGAACCGTTTGATCACGTTGGTGTTGGGCGGCGATCTCCGCCACTGCGTGCGGAGAGCGGCGACGGGAGTGCGTGTGCTGCAGGCGGCTCTTCGGAGTTGTCTGCCACGCAGCGGCCCACAGTCGTTCGAGGGTTTACGGCGCGCTCGGCTGGTCGGTTCAGGAAGCGGACGCTCAAGGACAAGGGTGTCATCAAGGAGTGCCGAGGGCGATCTCGGAGCAGGCCCGCGGGCGTGCGTTTGCTTGCGCCTGGGCGCAACCCGTATCGGCGAGGTACTTCGGCGGGCCTTGACGCGGGTGACGACGACGACGACGACGACATGATCGCTGCATTGAGGAGCACTCGTTTTGCGGCATCGTCGGCGGCATCGATGCGGTCACATTTTCGGTGGTGGGCCCGACGATGTGAAGCACGTGGATGGCGCGCGGCACCTGTCACCCCACAGCGATTGGAGCTTGCTGGCGCGTTGCTGCTGCGAGGTGGGTATCGCTCCGGGGCGTCGTACTTGTCCGCGATCAAGAGGCACCATGTGGCACAGGCGTTTCCATGGACCGCG